TTTCTTTCTTTCTTTCTTTCTTTCTTTCTTTCTTTTCCTTTCTTTCTTTCCTTCTAGCTTCTTTAAGCCTAGTTGGTGGCTCATACCTGTAATCCAGCACTTGGGAGACTGAAAGAGTAAGATAACAAATTCAAAGCCAAATTTAGCTGCATAATGAGCCCCTTCCAAAAAAGAAAAAGAAAAGAATGGGCAGGGGTGGCGCACTCCTTTAATCCCAGCACTTGGGAGGCAGAGGCAGGCAGATTTCTGAGTTCAAGGCCAGCCTGGTCTACAGAGTGAGTCCAGGACAGCTAGGGCTACACAGAGAAACCCTGTCTCAAAAAAACCAAAAAAAAAAAAAAAAAAGAAAGAAAGAAAGAAAGAAAAGAAAAAGGGAAAACTAAAAATACTTTTCCAGTTGTAACTGAATAGATGGTGTTTTATGGCTAGATAACATTTACTGATTTGCACTGGGGTTCGCAATATGCTTTTATTGGAGATCTGAAAGGAAATTGTTCCTTATTTGTAGTGTGTCAGCTTCTGAGTATGGGTTTTCTAAACTTCTAGGTCATAATGGCTCAAATTATAATTAACCAAATAAAACAAAAATCTAGTCTTTTTTTAATATCATGAATCAAGAATTAGATTGGTTGTGACAAGCATATGAAAGCATTTCTGTTTTTTTTTTTAAGAATGAGGATTATTGAAAAAAATTCCAAAGCGATTCAATTGCAAATAGATGAGATGAGACAGCTGAGAATGGAGTATGACAAGAAAGAAGTAAAGGTCTGTGCTTCCTCCACGCAGCTCTGGAAGCCCATCCCAGGTGCAGTGCATTGTCTACACTTCTATTTCAGACAGACTCCCCAGTGTGTCCAGATGGCTCCCTCTTACACAAGCTAGTACACAAGCTAATATTGTAATACCTTCAGTAGTATGTTGTGCAAGCAACTTTAGGCAGGGTCCTCGTAGAGACTCTGCACAGAGTAAACTTCAAGCAATCCTGAAGGATGTGAAGACTTGCAATCTGGCCAGTTCACCTGGTGTACAGTCAGAAGCTCTCACATCAATGTCGGCATCACTTGAGAACTATTAAAAGTGGAAATCTGTGGAGCTGGTAAGATTAGTCAGTAAAGTGGCTACTCTGCAAACTCAGGGTTCAAACCCCTCTCTCATGCAAAAGCCAGTGCCTGCTCTGTAATCCAGTTCTGGGGTGGACAGAGACTGGTGGAAACAAGTGGATCCCCAGAGCTCATTGGCTTAAAGAAGACAGCTAGTATAAACCGTCATGTCCACACAGGTATATATACATACTTGCTGCACATGTACACACACACACCACAAATAATTTGTGGATCCAATCTCAGACTTAAGATATCAGAAACTTAGTGATTGAGTCCAGTGGGTGATAATTGTCTGAAGTTCTGGTTATTCTGATTGAGAGCCACTGATACATTAACAACTGTAGTGTATTAAGTTTGCTGAATGTCATTCATGGTGATGTCCAAGTTCACTGGTTTCATGTCTTTAATGTCCTTACTCTTGCTAAATTTGAGAAATGAAGTATATCCTGGCTTCATGTGGAATTCAGAGAGATTAGTTTGATGAACAGATTGTGACTTACAAGACTAAAGATAGTAATTTGAGGATAGTAACTCCAGTACTTACAGGTTTTTTTTTTTGCTCAGTGTTTATCCAGAGACAGAACTGGTAGGTGAAAGCTTTAGAAAGACAGATTTGGCTGGGCAGTGGTGGTGCACTCCTTTAATCCCAGCACTTGGGAGGCAGAGGCAGGCGGGTTTCTGAGTTCGAGGCCAGCCTGGTCCACAGAGTGAGTTCCAGGACAGCCAGGGCTACACAGAGAAACCCTGTCTCAAAAAAAACCAAACAATCAAAAAGAGAAAGACAGATTTGGACTATATTGAATGATCTGTGGTTTAGGGTAATGAACTATTCTGTACTACAAAATTTCAACCCAGGTTTTCAAATCATCTTACATTTGGTAATAGTAGGGCTACTTTCAAATGCAAAATTGTGACTAGCAAACTCCAAATAATACATGTGAATAAACACAGAACACACAGCACATTGGCTAACTGCCAAGAAGAGTCTTGGGGAGGGAACGCTTAAGATCTGAAAGGGTTAATCCTGAGTGTAGGGAAATTCTGGAGAGGGTAAATGTGGATTGTGTCTTGTTTTTTTAATGCTCTACTTTTTATTATTTTTAAAAAATTTTTATTTATTTACTTTACGTATATGAGTACACTGTAGCTGTCTTCAGACACCCCCAGAAGAGGGCATCGGATCCCATCACAGATGGTTGTGAGCCACCATGTGGTTGCTGGGAATTGAACTCAGGACCTCTGGAAGAACAGTCAGTGCTCTTAGCCACTGAGCCATCTCTCCAGCTCCACCCCCTTTTAAAATGTATTTATTTATTTATTTATTTACTATGTACACAGTGTTCTGCCTGCATATATGTATGCAGGCCAGAAGAGAGCACCAGACATCACTGTAGATGGTGAGTCACCATGTGGTTGCTAGGAATTGAACTCAGGATCTCTGGAAGAGCAGCCAGTGCTCTTAACCTCTGAGCCGCCTCTTCAGCCCCTTTTTATTATTTTTTGTGTGTTTGGGTGTTTTGTTTTGAATGTATGTCTGTGCACCACATGCATGCCCAGTACCCATAGAGGTTAGAAGAAGGCATTGTATCCCCTAGAACTGAAGTTAAGACTCTAGTGAGACACCCTGCGAGCACTAGAAACTGAACCCACTCTTCTGTTAGTAAAGCCAGCACTCCTAACTAGTAAACCATCTCTCCAGCCCTGGGTAGGTATCTTTTTCTTTTTCTCAAAGATGGGTTCTTTCTATGTAACCTGGTCGTCCTGGAACTTTCTATGTAGACCAGGCTGACCTTGGACTCACAGAAATCCACCCACCTGTGGGTGGATTATCCCTCTCTCAGTACTGGAATTAAAGGTGTGGGGGTGGGGGGGAGGGAGGGAGGAAGGGAGGGAGGGAAGGGGAAAGTGTGTGTGTGCGTGTAATGAACACAAAGGACATTTCAAGAGTAAGAGACATCTCAAGATTTGGTAGGCATCAGTTTTGTGTTAGAAAAGATAAACTTGTAGCAGGTTAGCTCCTGGAGGGTAATGGAAGCTGTGGTGTGAGAGAAATCCACTGGCCTGATCTTCAGTCGTTAGATGCTCTGATTGATACTGAACTATCCTGGATGCTGCATAAAACTCAGAAGGAGTGGAGAGTTTGCCTATTTTGTATAAGGCTAGGGTTCTCAGTACCACAACAAAGAAACAAATATATGTTAAAAAAACCAGCCTATTAGCGTTACAATTTTGTAATAATGGTATTTATGTTCAGTAAGCTACAAGTACCTGTTAGTGTTCCTGAATTATTTTATAATACAATAAACATTCCTAAATGAGGCTCAGGGTTTTTGTTTGTTTTCCCGTAGGGATGACTCTCCAGGATTCTGTCAATCTGGAAGCTCTTAATAAACATAAGCAGTATCTTCAGGATAAATATATAAAACTTAAACAAGACATGTCAACAAAGTATGTACCAGCCCAAAAGAAAATTGATCTAGATGAGGAAATGATTGTGATACTAAACCGGCGAGATATAGCTGAAAATCTGAACAAAGACCTGAAGTTTCGGTATGAATGTTGGTTATTATAGGTGTTAAAGGCTTTGCCTGTGTTTTCTCTCGATCTGCCACGTGACCCCGCTCAGTGTGTTGTCCGTGCTTGTCTCTCTGCCACGTGACCCCACTCAGTGTGTTGGCCACGCTTGTCTCTCTGCCACGTGACCCCGCTCAGTGTGTTGTCCGTGTTCTTTTGCAGCCATCAAAGACTGCAGGTTATTTCACGCATACTTTCTTCATGGGTGAAGAAGAACATGAGAATTCCATTTCAAGATGTCATGGAGAGAATTCGGAAAACCAAAGCTATCTATGGTAGTTTATCTGTATTTTTAATTAGCAAGAACAGAAGAAGGCACTTTACCCCAGAGCTAAAGGTTTTCCTAGGCTTAGTTTTAAAAATGTAAGCAAAAATATACTATTCTTAGATTAGGGATTAGATGATGGGGGAAAGTGTAACCCTGGTGAGGCAGTGAGAAAAACACCTGGGGCTGGAGATGGCTCAGTGGTTAAGGGCACTGGCTTCTCTTTCAGGGGACCCACGTTCAGCTCTCAGCACCCATATGGTGGCTCAAGACTGTAACTCCAGTTGCAGGGCATGACACCCCCATACCGACATACATGCATGCATAACACCAATGCACGTGAAATGTAAATGACTTTGTAAAGAGAGAGGGGGAAAATATCCTCATTCTTGAGAATGAGGTCGGGAAGGGGACGTGACTCACTTTAGGATGGGGCTGGTGCTGTGTGAAAGCAGAGTAAAACCCGTTGTTGGCTTATTTCTATTGTTAAACAGGTTGTTATCTCATTACAAATTGTCCTTTCAATGTTTAGGAGATGACAACATTGTTGATGAGCTATTTGAAGATGATCCAAACAAGACAAAAGAAGCTATAGTTATGCTTTACTACATTGAAAGGCAAATATCATTTGTATTTTGGGTTTGTTGTTTGTTTGTTTTGGGTGGGTTTTGTTGTTGCCTTTCTTTTTGTTTGCTTGTTTATTTTGTGATAACTTCTCACAACCCAAAAAGCCTCAGTACAGAATGTAGGATGGCCTTGAACTCCTGATCCTCCTACTGCCCCCCTCCTGACTACTGGCTTGCAGGTTTATCTTTTGTAGTTTGAAAATTCTGTTCTAGCTGACAAATTAGAAAAAAAAAATTAGAAATTTCTTTTTTTTCATAAATTTTTGTTTTTTTTTTCAGAAAATTATAGAATACCCTAGCTACTCCAATCTTTTTGTAATTATTTTTATTCTATGACATATTAAGTTACTTGTTACTATATAATATTTATTTTTATTTTTAATTACACTTTTTTTATTTTATGAGGGTAGTGGGGATAGCAGTCCGAGTACAAGTTGAAAGAATTCTTGCATAATTCCAAATCACAGACCATCATTGTAGAGACTAGGAACCTGAAGCAGCTGGTTGTATTATATCCAAAGTCAAAAGCAGAGAGCAATGAGCACAGGCTCTACATGTATTATCTGAGGTAGACGTAAAGTATTCTAAAGCATTCACCTTTAAAATTAATTTATAGGCTGCCAGGGTGGTGTGTAATCAGCATATGTAATATCTATGCTCTTAAATGTTAAACAGTTTTCATTGTTTGATTTGTTTGTTGTTGTGTTACAAAGAAATGGATACAGATAATTTAAAGCACTAAAGACTATCTTATTTTCTTACACAATATATTTTCCTGAGTCTAGCAGGATTTTTAAAATTTAGTATCATTTAAAAATATTAATTGTTACTACTTTTTAAAATGTTCATTGGTGTTTTACCTGCATGTATGTCTTTGTGAGGCTTTCAGAAGCTCTGGAACTAAAGATGCAGACAAGTGTGAGCTGCCATGTGGGTGCTGGGAATTGAACAGTGTTCTTAACTGCTAAGCCATCTCTCCAGTCCCCCCCCCAAATATTTATTATTTTTAAGTATGCACATGCATGAGTTTGTGTACATGAATTTTGGTGCCCACCAATGCTGGAGGAGTCAGATCCCCCAGAACTAGAGTTACAGGTGGCTGTGAGCCATCCTGCATAGATGCTGGCAACTGTCAAACATGGGTCTTCTGCAAGAGTGTTTTTAACCACTAAACCATCTTCAGCCCAAATTTAGTATGGTTTTTAATATTTCGTATGTGTTTGTACATGCATGCACATGTGAGTGGTTGCACATGAGTGTACAGACCAGAGATTGGGGTTAACATTCTCTAATTGCTTCTCCGTCTTATTTACTTACATATTTACTGTCTAATTCACTTATTTAATGTGAGTGTACGCATGCATATACCACCACACAAGCTGGGTCCAAGGACATCCTAGTGGAGTCAGCTCTTTGAGCCCAATTTACACAGGAGGGCAAGCTCAGGTCACCAACCTTCTCTGAATCCTGAGGGAGCCTCTGCCTTGTCGGCACCGGGATGAGAAGCTCTACGCTGTGCCAGGGTGTACGTGGGTGGTGGGTATCTGGACTCAGGTCCTCACTTTTGAGCGGCAAACACATCACATACCAAGCCATCAGACTCCAGCTACAGTTTTCACTGGATAGGAAAACCTTTGTTGAGATTTGAAGTCTTAGACATTTTGCTCAATGTTACTTGTTTTTTTTTTTTTCCACTTTATTCAACATTCATTTGAGGCACTGTGTCACCCCTCTTTTCCTAAAAAGGGAGCTTTGCTGTGTGAAGGAGGCTTATGTGAAATATTATCTCTGCTTGTGTTGATGAGGGTTTCATACCTGACAGACCAGCATTGGCTTCTGAATGTCAGGAACATAGCTTGGTTCTGCAGCTGGGCTGCGTGTGCGCTGGGTTATTTCTCCTAGGTCCAGTTGCTAAGCAGATAGCTCTTTCCTGATTATCTGTGAGAAGAGAAGCCCCAGCTCACTATGAACCCACTTTCTGTTTTCTGTGAGAGGTTTGTGGGGACAGAGTGCAGGGTCAGGTTCAAAGTTCCTCAGAGGATGTGAATTTAACACGGAGACAAACAGGTCAAAACAAACTCTAGAGCCGGGTGGTGGTGGTGCACGCCTTTAATCCCAGCACTTGGGAGGCAGAGACAGGTGGATTTCTGAGTTCGAGAGTTCGAGGCTAGCCTGGTCTACAGAGTGAGTTCCAGGACAGCCAGGACTACACAGAGAAACCCTGTCTCGAAAAACAAAACAAACAAACAAACAAAACAAAAAACCCCCTAGGATTCTAGGGAAACACTGAACATGGTACTGAATAAATGAATTTAGTTATAACTTATTAGAGTACTATTTGTTTTCCACTATATCATTATACTTAATTTCTAATATTTGGGTTTTGTGTATCATTGTAATATGTTTTAAAATGCTATGGTTGTAGGTTCAATGAATTAATCTCCCTTGGTGAATATGAGAGGGCAGCTTGTTTTGCAGCAAACAGTCCAAAGAGAATTCTTCAAAATACTGGTACAATGAATAAATTTAAGGGTAAGCAAATCTCTCTGAAATATATATATATGCAAATTATACTTATTTTCTTGATAGAATGAAAATAGTATTCTAAGAGGCTAGTCTTTTATTGCCCCATCTTTATTATTTGTTGTTTCCTTAGCTGTAGTATTAGGGATTTCTTTTGATTTTCTAAGTTAAATTATGAAGTGTTTCATACATGGGAAAGCATGAAGAAATGTAGCATTAATATACCCACCATCAAGATTTTATAATATTAATTTTTTTGGTCAAACATGTTCCATGTGCTTTTTTAAAGTTTTGTTTTTTGATTTTTTTTGTTTTGGTTTGGTTTTTTTGTAGATTGGAATCATAAAATAAATTATACATTTTAGAGGTATGATGCTGAGTGTGAAATATGGGGGCTTCATACATGCTAGGCAAGTACTCTACCATGGAGATACACCCCAGCCCAAATACTGTATAAAGTACGTAATTTGCTAAGATTGACATTTGCACAGGCCCATCACATATACATACCCATGGCATCATCACCACAAAGCTCCCTCAAGCCCATTGGCAGGTTTCCTCTTCCACTCCTCACACCCACTCCTGTCTACAGGCTCTCCTCCCAGACTCCATGAAACCACTAATTTGCTTTCAGTTACCGTAGGTAAGTTGTTTTTTTCTATAACTAAAAACAGGCTGTAGGTGGTGGTGTTAGCATTCTGTCTAAACTCTACCCCCACAGTTATCTGGCAACAGCCAGGTATGCTCCTCCCTACAGTTACCTGGCAACAGTCAGGTTGGCCTGGCCCACTATAAAAGGGGTTGTTTGCTCCCTCCTCTCTCTCTTCCTCTCTTGCCTCTTGCTTCTCTCTTGCCCCCCCACCACGTGCTTGTGGCCAGCCTCTGTTCTCCTCTACTTCTCTTTTCTCTTTTCCTCTCCTCTTCCCTTTCCTCCCCTCTCCTCCCACGCCCCATCTCTCTGCCTCTACTACTGTTAGCATTTTGTCTAAACTCCACCTCCACAGTTACCTGGCAATAGCCAGGTAGGCCTGGCCCAACATAAAAGGGGCTGCTTGCCCCCTCCTCTCTCTTGATCTCTTGCCTCTAGCTTCTCTCTGTCCCCTCGCCCCTCCTCCTTCCCTTCCCCCTCTCCACGTGAACATGGCCAACCTCTACTTCTCTACTCTACTTCTTTTCTCTTCTCTTCTCTTCTCTTCTCTTCTCTTCTCTTCTCTTCTCTTCTCTTCTCTTCTCTTCTCTTCTTCTCTTGTCTTCTCTCCTCCTCCTCCCCCTCCTCTTCCTCCTCCTCCTCTTCTTCTTCCTCTCTCTCTCTCTCTCTCTCTCTCTCTCTCTCTCTCCCTCCCTCCCTCCTGGCTCCCCTCCCCATGCCCTGAATAAACTCTATTCTATGCTATACCAGTGTGTGGCTGGTCCCTGGGAAGAGATGCCTCACCATGGGCCCACTGAGACATCCTCTTCCCACATACCTCACCACACAGCCATAGAACATATTCTATATCTCTTTATCTTTTTATAAACATCAGGAGGTATTATAATTATTATTATTTGGGGTGTAGAGTCTTACTGTCAGGGGATATGAGACTGGCAGATGGCTGGAGAGGGAAGCCATAAATAAGTAACAAAGTAGAATGTTTGCAGAAGTGACCCTTCTGCACAGCCCCCTTCCAGCTGACCTATCCCTGGGATGTGTCCCAGCTAGGACTTGGAGGGTCTTTGAGCCAGTAAATCTACTCTTTGTCTGTGCTGACCAACTCAAGATGAGTAGAAGGGAGTCCATCCCAGGCCAAAAATCTGGAGCCCTTTATGGGGATGTTGGTTTCTAAATTCCATTATATGGAGACTGTCCTTGTGCGTGTATGGAGGGGGCGGGAGGGAGATATTTAGTTTATTCATCTGTCATTGGACATATTGAATGATGGAAATAAATAATTGAGGAAGACACAAATAAATAGAAAGATATTAAGGGAGACCCTATAGACCAGCAGTCTCAACTAACCTGGACCCTCAGAATCTCTCAGACACTGAGCCACCAACTAGGCAGCACACACCAGCTGATATGAGGCCCCCAACACATATACAGCAGAGGACTGCCTGGACTGGACTTAGTCAGAAAAGATACACTTAACCCTTGAGAGACTTGGGGTCCTAGGGAGTGGGGAGGTCTGGTGAGGTGGGGTGGGGGGCCATCCTCATAGAGCCATGGGGGCGGAGGGAGGTGTGAGATGTGGAACAGTCAGAGGGTAGACCAGGAAGGGGATACAGTCTAGTCTGTAAAAAGAAAAAAAAAGATTAAAGAATAAATAAAAAGAAGAAGGAGGAAAAGGAAGATATTTTCTGCTCATGGGGTAGAAGAATAAATATTGTTGAGACACCAATAAAAGCAATGTTAAGATTCAATATAATCTTTGTAATTCAATAGCATTTTCTTTTCTTTTTTTTAAAGATTTATTTATTTATATGAGTACACTGTTGCTGTCTTCAGACACACTAGAAGAGGGCATCAGATCCCATTACAGGTGGTTGTGAGCCACCATGTGGTTGCTGGGAATTGATCTCAGGACCCCTGGGAAAGCAGTCGGTGCTCTTAACCGCTGATCCATCTCACCAGCCCCCAAGGTACCTCTTATAAACGCAAACATTTAACTGGGGCTGACTTGCAGTTTCAGAGATTTAATCCATTATCATAATAGGAAGCATTCAGTCAGACAAGGTGCTGGAGAAAGAGCTGAGAAGTTTGCATCCTAATCTGAAGGCAACTAGTGGGTGGAGCCTGAGCATAGGAGTAGACCTCCAAAGCCCGCCCCCATAGTGGCACACTTCCTCCAACAAGTCCACACCTCCTACCAGTACCACTCCAGGCCCTAGTCCCCAGAGGCTTGTTCAAACACATGAGTTATGGGAGCCATACTTAGCCATAGCATAATGTGAAATACATTTAGTCCAACTTCAAAAATCAGAAGTTCAAAGTCTCTTTTGAGATTCATGCAATCTTTTTTTTTTTTGGTTTTTTAAGACAGGGTTTCTCTGTGTAGCCCGGGATGTCCTGGAACTCACTCTGTAGACCAGGCTGGCCTCGAACTCAGAAATCCACCTGCCTCTGCCTCCCAAGTGCTGGGATTAAAGGCGTGCGCCACCACCGCCCGGCAACAATCTTATAATTTTAATCCAATAAAAAATCAAAATCAAAAAGCAGATCACATAGTTCCAACAACATATCATTACATTACCATTCCAAAATGTCATAGTGAGGAAATACTGTACTAGAGCAATACCCCAGACCAGCTGGGCAAACTCCAAACTCCTCGTCTCCAGGGCCAATGTCAAAGCACTCTTCAGATCACCCACTCCTTTCATCCTTGTTGACTTCTGTTGGCAGATCTGGCATTCAGCAACAGCAAACTTTGTTCTCTGGGGGTGGCTCTACACCTTCTTAGCAGCTTTTCTCGGCAGGAATTCCATGGCTTTGACATTTCTAAAATCTTGGAGTATCCAAAGCAACTTCAACTTTACAGCTATCTGTTCCAATGTCTGGGATCCACACATGATCTTCTGGGCTCCTCCAAAGGGTTTGAGTCACTTCTCCAACTCTGCCCTCTGGAGCACTCTAGGCTCTGGGTGACTCCACTGCTGCTGCTGCTCTTGGTTGTCATCTCATGGTGCTGGCATCTCCAACATGCCGGGGTCTTCTACTGCAACTAGGCCTTACCAATAGCCTCTTATAGGCTCTTTTCATTATGTCAAGTCTCGACTTCTTTGCATGACCCCTTCAGTCCTGAGATGAACTGCAGCTGAGACTTCACCCTTCACCAATGGCTTTTCCTGGCCTCTAACAATTCCAAGCCTCAGGTGCTCTTCATGACTCCTTCATGCCTTCAAAACCAGTATTACCTGGGTGATTCTTACATACTACCAAGTCCAGCTGCAGTCTGAGGTACAACATTGGTTATTTCTGGATACAGCTTCTTTGTGCTCTCAGAAAACACTTCCCAGAAGATTTCACCTCAGTGATTCTGGTCTCTTCTTAATCATCACTAATTTCTTAGCTCCAGCTAACCAGCATCAATTGTCCCAGTAACCCCTTCTATTATTGACTGTAAACCCAGAGCCACATGGCCAAAGCTACCGAGTTCTTCTGCTTGCTGGGGCTGGAACATGGACCACTTGTTCTATTACATTATCACCAACTTTCTGTTTTCCAACACCTTCACTGCCTAAGCTTGACTGTCCTGGAACTTGCTCTGTAGATTAGCCCTGAGCTCAGAGATCTGTATAGCTCTCTCTCCTGAATGCTGAGATTAAAGGCATGTACCACCATGTCTAGACTTAAGCTTTTCTTTACCTGGAACTTGTTCTGTTCTGTATCAGGCTGGCCTTGAATTTAGAGATCTGCTTGCCTCTATCTCCTAGGATTAAAGGCATGTACTATCATACCTGGACCTAAAACATTCCATGGCTTTCCAAATCCAAAGTTTCAAAATCTACATTTCTCTAAACAAAAACATGGCCAAGGCTATCACATCCATACCTGAGTCATTGCTATGAAAAGACATCATGACTAAGGCAACTCTTAATGAAAGCAAATATTTAATTGGAGCTGGCTTGAATTTCAGAGGTTTAGTCCATTATCATCATAGCAGGCAGACATAGTGCTGAAGAAGGAGCTGAGAGTTCTGCATCTTGATCTGAAGGCAACCAGGAGAGACTGGCATCCTCAGCCAGCTAGAAGGAAGCTCTCTTCCACTGTGGGTGGAGACCTCCAAAGCCCACCCCCACAGTGACACACTTCCTTAAACAAGGCCACACTTCCTAACAGTACCATTCCCTATGGGCCAAGCATATTCAAACCACCACAGTAGATTCCCCTTTAAGGTCTGTAGCCTCTCCAGCCACTGATAGTTGTCTAGGTTACAAGCATGCATTACCTTCTATTGATTAGGAGATATCTGAGCTTCTGATGGCTCTCAGCTATTTTTGGCATCATTTGGCTTGCAGACAAATCACCATGGTCTCTGCCTCCATCGTTATAGCGATATTATTAGAAAAAAATGTAGAATTTATTCTGTATCTATTGTTAACGGTTTGGAAAATGTAAAGAAATTAAAGAGTAATATGAACTACAAAATGCAATCTAATTCTTAATGAACTGGACTCAAACTTCTCATTCTTTTTTTTTTTTTCTTTTTGTAGCTATTGGAAAAATTAGAGGAAAGCCTCTCCCATTACTCTTGTTTTTTGAGGCTATATTTAGCACCAGTCAAGCTTTCAAACGTCCTATTAATGCCGACCTAACCATGGAGGGAATCAAATGTGGATTATCTGAGGAACGGCTTGATTTAGTTACCCACTGGGTCACCCAGGAAAAGTAAGCAAAATTAAGCTGCTAACTTAATTTCAACATTAGTTAATATGATTGTTTTCCTCTGACTTACAATAGTTAGTTGTTATCTGTGAACTAGAGTTTCTCAGTGTGGCCTAGACAGGCCTCAAGATCAAATCCCTCTGCCTCAGTCTCTTACATGCTGGGATTATAGGCTCGTGATACTACATTCAGCTAATGGATTGTTATAAGCACTGTGTTTTAGGATTTACTTCAATTCTGTGTTGAAATTAATTAGAAAGTATCTAAGGCCTAGCCACAGAGAGCTCAGACTAAAAGTCAGTTAACTGAAGTTCACAAAATAAAATATGGCAAGCTAGCATCAGATGTAAGTTGAGTGACATAGGCACAGAATGATTGGTCAATAGCACACTTCTTAGGTGAGAAAAAGGCAAGGAACCTGATTCTAGACAGGCTGTAGCACGTGTGTCATAACCTAGGAGGCGTTTGTACGGAGGGGAGGAGGGCCATCCCCATGGTTGAACTGAGGAACATTTAAGCCAGCAGCTAGACTTGAAGCCAGGTCTCCTACAGACTGGCAGATCTGTGCTAGTGTGTGTAGGGCTCACCTATCTAGAACCTGAGGCTGAGTCAGGGTGTGTGTGTGTGTGTGTGTGTGGGAGGGGGGATGTGGGTGAGGTCACATGGGCTTCCTAGTAATCTGAGTGGAGCCACACAGGGAAGGGCAAGAGCCAAGCAAGGAAGTGGCAAAGCCTTAGCCACGGGCTGGAGAGATGGCTCAGCGGTTAAGAGCACTGATTGCTCTTCTAGAGGTCCTGAGTTCAATTCCCAGCAACCACATGGTGACTCACAACTATCTGTAATGGGATCTGATGCCCTCTTCTGGTGTGTCTGATCACAGCAACTGTGTACTTACATTCATAAAATAAATAAATCTTAAAAAAAAAAAAAAAGAAGCCTTAGCCACATCTCCCAGACAAACCATGCTTGGATCTGCTCCACCTTGAGGGAAGGGCCCAGGCTTTCATGTCTACCAGCTTGGTTGGTTTATAAAGAAAAATTAAGCCGGGCGGTGGTGGCACACGCCTTTAATCCCAGCACAGGCAGAGGCAGGCGGGTTTCTGAGTTTGAGGCCAGCCTGGTCTACAGAGTGAGTACCAGGACAGCCAGGGCTACACAGAGAAACCCTGTCTCGAAAAACGAAAAAAAGAAAAGAAAAATTAAGCCTTCTGATTTTGAACCCCTCCACTTCTCACCCCTATAAACAGAGTCTGTATTTACTGCGTGTCCAATTCTGAGACATTTTGTAGAGGTATCAGAATTTCATTGTAATGTTAGCAGCATTTTGTTAGATGTATAGAAACACCACTATTATGTAAGTGTGCTATTTTTGCATCCATTAATTAAAAATATAACTAAAGCACAATTTCCATATAAGCACTAATTAGACAAGATTTTTCTGATAATGCCCAAATATTCTTTTGACTTATGTTGAAAATTTCTGAGTAGCATTACTGCAGTAGTACAGACAGTTGGTTCACTGTCGTTGAAGTATAAACAGGTACATTTTTTTGTTTGTTTGTTTTTTTCGAGACAGGGTTTCTCTGTGTAGCCCTGGCTGTCCTCGAACTCACTCTGTAGACCAGGCTAGCCTCGAACTCAGAAATCCGCCTGCCTCTGCCTCCCAAGTGCTGGGATTAAAGGCGTGCGCCACCACTGCCCGGCTAAACAGGTACATTTAAATATTGTACCAAATGAAGTGATTCAGTTCAACTGTTTGGAAAGAACTGTTTCCTCAATTTCTCCTAGAGGGTGGCTGTATTCCACCACCACCACCCAACCTACCCCACCCTGCCACACACACACTTTGCTTCTTATTATCTATAACAAATTTAAACTAAGAGGTACTGTCACACTTAAAACTGGGTGCTGTGGTGGAGGGCGTACATGAGAATTCCAGGAAAGCAAACGCTATGATGGCGAGATAGAGCAGGAGTTTTGTCTACACTGCCTTGTGTTCTGCCTGGTCTCATGCACACAGCCACCTAGAAGCTATCTTGGATCTGAGAATAGAAGAGAGAGAGAGAGAGAGAGAGAGAGAGAGAGAGAGAGAGAGAGAGAGAGCGAGAGCGAGAGAGAGCAGTTATTCTTAAAATGCCTTGGCTAACTCAATGACTGGGCACTCCTACTACATCTTCCCCTGTTAGCCGAGGCCCAGTTGGGGAAGTGACTAGTGGCCACTTACCCAAAATCTCACATTGCTGGCTGACTTTTCTCCTCTGCTACTGTGTCCCATTCTTCTCCCTCCCAGTCCCTAATTCTCTCTCTGCATCCTACCTGCTCAACTCTCAATGTCCCTGTGTTCAGCCATTGGCTACTGGCAACATAATTGATAGATCAAAAACCAAATGATGGCAAGGACCTTCAGTATCAGTAAACACAGATTCCTGATTAAATCAAAGGATCAGAACCACCCTCTATAGGGAGATGTGGTTTTTCTTTTGGTGTGAATGCCTACAAGATCTAATTATAGGCCAAGATTATCCCCTTTACCTTTTGCCAACGTCTAAAAAGTTGTTACATTCTGCAGACTCTAGGTAACTTATGAGAACATTGAGGTTTCCCAGTTGCATGCAGACCTTCCTTACCTGACAATTTGAATTCTGTCAGTCTTTTCAGGAGAGTTTAAGTCTTGCTTATAGACATTAAGACATTTGATCTCAATTTTCCCAAAATTATTTCCTCAAAGGAGAATTGTTTTTGGTTTTGCCAATCTCAAATGTGTTTAATTTCTACCACATTATCAATTGCTTATTGACTTACAATTTTATAGGTAATTTATAATCCATTTACAGTCTTGAATTTTCAGATATTTCAGTCTCAACCACTCATCTACAATTTTCTGACATGTGCTGTAATGATCTGCTTGCTTCAGGCTGACATTTTCTGAGAAGGCTGGCGATATTATTTTTGCTTATGGAGAGGAGCACACATACCACAAGTCCAAATGCTTGGCATTAGCTCAGATTGTCTACAATGAATGTGGGCTACACAAGAAAGCTCTTCTTTGCCTGTGTAAACAGGGTCAGTTTCATGAGGCTATGGAACATATACAACAGTCCAAGGACATTAGCATTGGTAAGTAAAAAGACCTAGTTACTAAATACATTTTAACTCTGACATCACTCATAGGAGCTGGCATTGTTTGAAATTTAGCTTATAAAATACTTTTATACATACTGATAGGATATTTCTTTTGTAAATTTTCTTTCTTTTTTTGTAAATTTTCATGAAAGAAAGATAGAGTTAATTGAATTCTATGAGACACATTATGCAAAAGAAACATTTAATATGTGGCTATTACTAGAATTATGTAGTATTAAAGACAAATTTACTTCATATGATAGACCATACTACATTTTAAAGGATTTTAAAAAAATATCTAAATTTTTTACATATAATATACATATAGTACATATATGTATTATAACAATTATGCATGAAGTATTAGTAATTATCATTTCAGAATTTTGAATACCTAGCTTGTAATGGGATGTGATTTGAGAGAACTGTAAACAGTTGACTGACTCTAGTTCAATGACCTGATACAGTTGACTAACCTTAGTTCAATGGCCTGATCTCTTAACATCTTAACGAGAATCTCAACAGGGTGAGCTTATGGAACTTCCGGCCTGACAGCCCCCATTCCTCAGGCATAAGCCAATCTCCATTTTTAGGCTGTTTGTTTAGTCTAAGAAGTTACAAAAAACAAACGAATAAGTAAATATAAAAAAAGAAATAAAGGAAAAAGTTGCAAACCAAACCAAAGCATAGCAGCTTTAAGCCATATTTCCCAAGATAAAGGATATTTATGGCTGTTGAATTTGATCAATTTCAAATAGTGAGTTGATGCTTACTCACATCATGTATGTGTTTCAATGTTCTTAATGTCTTCATTCATTGATATCAACATCATACCTGACTTTACCGTCAGAGCAGTAGGGAGCTGCCTAAGTGCATTAGTGTACTTAATCATTTTGTTGAGTCTGATGTAATTTTTGTTATAATATCTTCTTTATAGAAAGACATTGTGTGTGTTTTCCCAGAGAGGATGAGCCACAAAGGGACATTTGCCAGTAGTTACACAATAGCAGAGCAGCCTGGTATAGTGGGAGCACTCTACTAAAATTAGTTGAGTAAATTATGTATTGTATTATTAACTAAAGACACATTCAATTCCTGTACTGGTTTCAGTTTCTGTGTGAAAGACTTATATCAGTGTTTAGATGTAAAATATGGCTATATTCTGCTTAGATAGTAAGCAAGGAGAGTGGGTCATATTTGGAATTTCTAATTAGAAAATTCTCAGGTAATATTGTCAAAGAAATCAATTTATAGGAGAGAAGTTTGAATAGCTATTGAGTGTAATAGAGAGAGATGGGTTAGCTTTAGATGTTAAAACTCAAGATGAGTGATTTAAGCCATAAACTTGTTACTTTTCTAAGAATTAATAGTTTGATTTAATTGATGTAGAATAATATTCTGTACTTCCTTCTCCCCACTTCTTCTCTTAACCTCTTTTTTTGTATGTATGTATGTGCATGTGTTCATATATACATACACACAGGTATACATAATAATATTTGGGGGAAAGGTGTGAATACTGGGGACCAGGTAGACCATTTTACATTATATCATGTGTAATTCAGAGAAAATGAACATCTCTAAGCCTATTTTCTTACTGGTAATACAAAAATGGTAATATATTACTAATTCTGAGTAGCCAAGTCAGTTCATAACTATCTGTTAGTTCCTGGCACACAGTACATTTGTCCAGTAAAAACTAGATTACCCCATATTGCCTTTTAGAGACAAATTACATTTACAATAGTTCACAAAAGACCTAGAATTTATTTTGAGAATTACTTCTTGTGGCCTAAAAGGGATATCTTGTGTTGAAAATTTAAGAAATTAGCTGGATGGTGGTGGCGCATACCTTTAATCCCAGCACTCAGGAGGGAGAGGTAGGTAGGTCCCCAACTTTGAGGCCAGCCTGATTTGTAGAGTATGTTCCAGGAAGCCAGGGCTCCACAAAGAAATCCTTTCTTGAAAAACAAACACACAAGCAAACAAACAAACAAGAAGAAGGAAGGAAGGAAGGAAGGAAGGAAGGAAGGAAGGAAGGAAGGAAGGAAAGAAGGAAGGAAGGAAAGAGAAAAATTTAGGAAATGAATGTGAGATTTAGCTGGGCGGTGGTGGCGCACGCCTTTAATCCCAGCACTTGGGAGGCAGAAGCAGGTGGATTTCTGAGTTCGCAGTCAGCCTGGTCTACAGAGTGAGTTCCAGGACAGCCAGAACTACACAGAGAAACCCTGTCTCGAAAAACCAAAAAAA